GTTTTGTGTATGTGTTGCCAAAGTAATTTAAACTTGATGTCAAATTCAGCAGAGTCATTCAATTTCAATGTCGGTGCATAATTTTGTGGACTACGGCGTGAGTGTGAAGGACACTTGAGGCTGCCAGTTACGTAATTACCTGAGGCCCCGTAATTGCCAAGGACGAGGGTTCTCCCGAATGACGCGACGTTTTTGCGGCTCCTTACTCATCACTTTCCAGTCCCCATGCCACTCGCTTCTGCCCCCAATTCTATCCCAAATTCGACTTGGGCGCAATTTATGCAAATTCGCTGGGAAAGACAACGCACATGGCAATCAGCAGAATGTGTGTGTTGACAGCCGGGTAGCAACTGAACCAAACCAACCCGAACCGAACTGAACTGAACTGATCTGAGCCCCTGCCATCGGAATTCCTATTCTACGGACACGTCCAGCCTTGGCACATTTAACAAGGCAAGCCGCATCGAAATCCGCTCGATTAGCATAAACGCATTAAAAATATGCCACCCCCCGGGAGAGACGCACATGGGCACATGGGTCGCCAATAGGTGGGTGGATTCGGGCGGAGTTTATGGATTATAATGTTTGTTTTGACATGCTCGATGACAGCGCCGGTGGTCGTTTGAGTTTTCAACTGCCGGAGCATGTTGAAAACATCAACAACATTTCCACGGAAGTAAACGGTTTTTATCTCGACCTTAAAGCTGTACAATTTGTCAGTGATATGCAGCAAGTGCTTTGAATTATATTCAAAATAGATATAAAGAGCTTTAAATAAAACACGTGGATATTAAAAAGTAAATTATTAGTATGCATTTAAATTGTGGCGGAATGTACTAAATACCAGGCAATCTATATGCAAATTTTGTACAATAATTTATATTTAATCGGTTCAAGAGCACCTTGATGGCTCTGGCTGCACATATATGTCATTTGCGAAGGGGCATAAATATATCTATAGCCCTAGAGGTTGAGAAATGCGTGGGTAGGGGCTTTAGGGCACAGGGCACTGAATGCAATCATAAATAAACAGCACGCATCTAGAATACTTGCATGCAAATTGGGGGCCAAGAACCAAACCGCGACACAATGGGATTTCCCCCTCCCGCTGCCCGCGTTGTCAACGTAATTTACCATTTTTCCTTCAACTTGCATCGTCTACGGTATGCATCACTCACTCACTTAGCACCCCGTGCTCCCTTCTCCAGGGCCCTTGTGTTCACTGGTTCACTGGGGAAAATATTGTACACTCTAAAACTAAGGAGCAATTTGAAATTTACCAAATGCGCTGATCCCATAAAAAATATTTCAAATGTGGAAATACCTTTAATTTTGTAATAATTATTCGATACAAGCTGCACAGACTTTGGAGGCCCTGAAATATGGCTGTGGCATTTTCCCGAGTGTGATGCAAATTGCGTTTGCGAGCGGGCTGCGCTGATGAGCTCTGTGCATTGCATACTTCGCGGCGCAGACTTTTCAACCTGCCACGGACGCCGCCCATCAGTTATTTGTCTCGCGTGGCACTGTTTGTCTTGTGAGTTTGGAGCGCTGCGAGCTCGACAGCTGCCTCGTTGCTGCCGCCTCTTTAATGTGTGGGTAAATGCGACAAAATTAAGTTAACTGCCAGCATTAATGCGCATGCAACAGACTCTGCCAACTAAGCGGGCTGGCAGCGAAAATTAAATTTGCCAAAATGTTGGCTGCTCCGTCCGACAGCGAATTAGGCTGCCATCGGGCGTATTTTAAATCAATTGGACAGCCGAGCTGCGTGACAAATAAACCTAAGCGAAGGACCACACTGCGTATGCGCAATCTGCAGCTGTGGCAGCTGGTCCATTTGCTGCTGGCGATGCGATTAGTTGGCCCAGACCGTCATATGACCACGACCTTTTGTGCCGGGCATTATCTGCGTGGCCACTTGAGCGACTCAAAGGCACTTTGATCTCAGCACCCCACACTTCTATCCACCTGAGATTCAACCAATCGCAGAGCCAGCACGACACCGAGCAAAATACCAAGCCATTTGAAGTACTCTTAAATAACTGATAAACATAATTAATAGTTAGAGTAGCCTTCCTAGTTGGCCTTTTGCGTTTTTGTCTATATCAATGTCTATTTCATAATTGTTTATACATATTATGTATGATTGTTCGACTATACATTTTCCAGTGCTTCATTCCAGTGCACTGGAGTGGCATCTTGATTGCCTTCGGCCATCGGGCTCTTGATGTTGTGGTCACTAAGCAATGGATATGGACACCTGATTAAGGACGAAGTACTTGAAGTTTGCATTTGGCCATAATGGCGGATGCAGCTAGTGCACTGATTAGCAGGGTGCACACACACACCCACACACACCCACACACACGCGACGGAGGTGGGGTATCCTTTGAGTTCGGTGCGAGTATTTCCAATAATTAAACAATCCCCCAATACGGAATTGGATACTCCCCCACTTGAATGCATTGAATCGCACCGAATCCCATTGAATTGAATCGAAATGGAGAACTTGGCAGTTCGTTGGGGGAACTTCCTGCACGTTGCACTTGCCCGGATTTCGCCGGCAGGGGTTTCTGGCTACCCCTTGACTATCGGTGGCCACACTTCACTTTTTTTTGTTTTTAGCCACGTCGGTACAAATCAATTTATGCCCGGCCAACGTTTGAACAATTTCTGTTTCTGTTTCTGTTTCGGTTTCCGTTTCTGGTTCTGGTTCTCTTTGTGCAATTGACGGGCCAATAATTAAGCCGGAGCCCAGGGAAAACGCTGGGAAAACGCATGGAAAACTCACGGAAAACGGAATGTACCGCTGCCGGTTGTGTGGCCTGTTCTTATGAGTCTGCTGTCGTTGCAAAGTCAATTTCCTTGCTTATTTAAATTTCAAAGCAAATGACAGAAGGTGTTGTTGCGCTGCCACAAACTGGATTAAATTTCGTTTAAAATGTAAATGGAAAAAAGCGTGATAGACAGGTTGGGCTTTTGCCGCCCGAATCGTATCCAAATTGCGTTTACAACGGCGTAACATCAAAAAAAGCAAAGAAACAAGGAAAGGAATCACCGAACTCTGGAAAAACTAAACAAACACCTCATCAAAGAACATCAAAGGACGCACACCCCACCCCCCCCAAAAAAAACAGTGAAAACCCCAAAAATAACCAGGAGGGGAGAAAAATCAAAAGCGAGGAGAAAGGAAAAGGTGGTTCGAAGAAAGGAAAACATTTCGCTGCGCACGACGCAGAAAATAAAATCAAGAATTTCACACCTTATCAATTTTGCTAGATTAACAAAACGAACAATGGGGTGGGCCGTTCACCACCCATTCCGGCCAGGGAAATTGCATCATCAACGTCCTTGCCGCATTGTGATCGACATCATCATCATCAGCTCCATCGTCTGGATGCAGGGAAGCCAACGTCACCACACTTTGTCATTAAGGAAGTCAAAAACTTCGACCCCAAGCGGCGAACTGGCGAAAATCGGGGGATGGCACTCTCTTTCGCTCCGGAAAAGCTCGGAAAAACGGAGAAATGTAGCAGTGGAGAAAGCGGTGGAGAAATCGGTTTGGCTTTGTGTGACAGCAGCGTTGACATTTATTTTGATTTCAGTTTCGAGTGCAGAACCTAAGTGGGTGAACTTTCTATTTTGCTTCATCTGTTATCCACTCCAACCTGTTTACCACCCCTGCCCTTCGATGCACTGCGCAAAAATGGAGAGTTCATTTGTAATAGCAATGAATATTTGTAAATAGCCGAGTCATAACATGTGCAATGTGCAAAATCATAATTAAAAAATATATATATAAATAAGCTTTCATAACACATAAGTGCAATATTTTCTTCCTGTGCGCTCATGCTAATGTGCATCATGGCTTAGCTCTCTACTCAGGGGATGGCCTTTTTATTTTGGTGTCGCTGCCACTAAATTGAATTTTATGTGGCGAGTGCCAACTTTGATGTGTGCCCTTATTAATGGTTGCTGCGAACTGTCGGCCGGGTCGGTGAAGTGGGCTTTGGGTGGGAGGTGGGGTCTAAATCAGCACTGATAGAGCGTCGGCGAAGAGTTTACGGTAATTGCAGCACAAACAGGGGCGAAAACTGCCTTCGAGCTGGGCATGTAAATTCAATGAAATATGGCTTGCAAAAATGCCTCGCACAAGCAACGCCTCAAAATGCCAGCAATGCGCCGGCCGTTCCTCCCGCTCCGCCGGCCATCTAACATCTGGACAGAGGAGCATGTGGCCATGTGGCCATCTGACCAGCGGCGGAAAAGTCCGGCCATCGAACGGCAGCTTGGAATTCCAGGCATAACTTCTAGCAGCAACGAGCAGACGAGCATATGTAAAAAGCGGAGCCAGCCAGCGACACATAAGTACACACGAACACACATTGCTGGCGGGTTTCCATGACGCAAAAAAGGAAAAGCGTGCTGAAAAAATGGAATGGAAAATCTAGCCCAGCCAAGTCTCTAAATTGTGTGGCCCTAAAAGTGTCCGGCGGCACATAATGCTCACAGAACGTGCACATAAAGCAAAAGCGCTGGCGAACTTGAATTTGGATAGTGGTGGGATACTAAGACAATGATCTATGGAAGGAACTTTGATAAAACATTTTATCAAGACAAATGTTTCATTGAATTTATAAGCCCATCTGCAAATGAACAACTTTGGTGCAGTTGTATAGCATTCGCCCTTTTAATGCACTTGGTACTCTGATATTTCTCCGAGTGCAAGCACACACACAAATCTGTCTGTGTCCTTGCCACATGCAACGTCTGCTGAAGCTGCTGCTGCTGCCCAATGGCCGCAAGGAATTTCACACAATTGCTAGAAAAATTGCAGAAAATTGAAAATGTGCGAGAGCGCATAAATTTTTACTGCGTCACTTGTGAATGCTAAATTGTTGTTATTTATGTGGGTACTGAAACACCAAGGTCCGCCAGTTTAGCCCACCCACTCCCACGAAATTACCCAAAGGAAGATGGAATCTCTGAGAAGAGTTAGGACACAAATCGATTTCATTTCGCACACCACAGATGCCTGTCACTGAGTTCTGTTGCCGACTGCAGTGAAAATCAAACTGAAGTCGGCAACACAGCTCGGTTGCAGTTCAAGGTCACAGGATATGGCTAATACAAGTTGAGGACTATCAATTTTTAAAGGAGGCCCCGCTTGAGGACATGGAAACCATTGCGAGCAAACAGGCGAAAGAAAGTGCTTCCGAAATGAGCCATCGAGGAAACGATCAGCAGGCCAACGCCCAAGGATATGGCTTCATCCTGGTATTTCTCCACCCAGTTGAGCAGTTCTCGAGCGGGCTCCGCCATCAGCTTGATCTGCCTCTCGATAGCGTACTCATTGCAGCTTTGGCCGTACAGCAGTAGATAGGATACCTGCATGGTGTTCGCATCCTTGATGATCACCTGCTTCTTATCGCGGCTCGTTTCGTTGTCCTGGAAAACGAACTCCACCACAGCCACGCAGCGCAGTATCGATCCGCACCGGGAGCCGCCCAAGCCAGCCTGGGGCTTACTCCTGGCCAGGGCCTCATTGATATCGCAGGTGAGCTCCAGGCACTTTCCGTTCGCCAGGCAGTTCTGGTTCAGCAGCGCATAGAGCTTCTCCAGCTTGCAGCCGTAGAAGCCCAGGCGAACGGATTCCTTGTTCCGCTGCCGCAAGAGGGCATAGGCCTCGCCCATCTCGTTCCCCTTGCCCGTTCGCACCTCAAAGATCTGGGTGGGTGCACGCTTGGGAGAGGGCATGCCCAGGTGGGCGTACAGCTGCTCGAACTCGCAGGGCCGCAGGGAGCTCAAGGACACGCGATCGGCCTGCTCCACCAAGATGTCGGTTAGCAAACGCACCACATTGGGGGAGCAGTCCTGGTAGTCGCAGTGCAGGAGCTGCTGCTGCAGCACCTCCAGCCTGGGCGCATCACCCAGCGTATTGAACACCATATCTATGGTGTGCCAGTGGCTGGGAAATGGTCTCAGCCGTGTTCTGTAGCGATAGCTCCAGGCGGCGGCCATAAAAATCGTCCACAGAGCCTCGCAGCCCAGAAAATCGTCCTGGAGACGGCGCTGTACGAGATGTAGGTCCCTCAAATGGGGCGTCACCGCTTTTATGGGCAGTCCTATGGAATGCGGCAGCAGTGATACCAAACGCCGCCAGCTGATCCTTTTCGCCGGCATTTGACTGGGATACCCCACTGATGTGGCGCCCGAAAGCAGGGTCATTTCCACTGGATTTTGATTTCCCTTCCGAGACTAAAATTTGGAAATTGTTGTTCTGCAGAGTTTTCGGCAAGCCGTCGGGCATCAATCTAAGCCTCCGAAAATCTCGACAATCGAATGAAGTGTGTCGCTCAGGTCGCAGGTCGGATGAATGCCCCGGACTGGTTGCAGGAGATTGAATTTCGTCCTCGAATGCACTCGAAAAAATAACAAACGGATTTCGCACTACAATTTCTTTTCTTGTAAGTAATGTTCGGAAATTAAACTCTTACAGCAAATTTGACAAGAAAGTCTCACTTTGAAGTGTTCGGGCGCTAGAACAAAGTAACTCTAAAGATTCCCTTGCTTGTCCATGGATGTGGCTATTAAATCTTACAAAATTCGTTGGGCTTATTTCGAAGTAGGTATTTTTTTCGAGTGCATGCACAGTAACAGTTGGCAAGTGTGACTTCTGGATGGGTTATGGTTGGGTGGCTGGCTGGTTGGTCTGTAATTGATTAATGGAGCCTGATGTCGAATGCCTGATGCCTGCTGTCTGCCGCTTGATGGCTGACGCTCACCTTATGTCGGGGGTGACTTAACCTGGTCGCCCCGAGATTTCCACCCACCACCCAGCACCCACCACCAACTACCAATGCCTCGCCAACGGGGCAGAGTTGGAATGGTCAAAGTTGCATCATAGCTACGCAGTTAATTGGATACTTTTTCAATACTTTTATCTCCGGCAGCAACCCCATTGGTTGGGCGTTGGGCGTTGGGCGTTTGGGTCCTTCGCTCCTCCACCTGCCGCTGCATGCGTAATTTATTGATATACTCGGGCTAAATTATGAGTCTCCTGGGGAGGCGCGAGAAGGAAATAATTTTTTGTTTTCCCCGCACCGCTTCTACCCGCTCGGAAAAGCGGAAAAGCAGAAAAGCGCGAGGCTGCAGGTGTGGGTCTGTGTGGAAATCAGTTAACCGAAAAAGTTTGCAACTTTTTGCCGTGCTCGCTGCCTGTGAAATCAAAGTTGGAGTTTATTCAAATAAACGCCGACATTAAGAGAGTTGCAACTGTTGCGTTGCGCCGTTGAAGGCGTCTCCTGGCATTCGGCGGCATAAATCAGGGCCAACAGCCGTGGCAACTTTTTTCGCAGATAAACTTTTGACGTCATTTAACCCTCTTGTTTTTGCCAGCCTTTTCGGGGATGCCTGCAATGTTATTAATATGCCCAAGTTTCTTCTGGCGTTGTCAATTCCCCGGAGGCGCTTGCTGCTAAATAATTCCACTTCCCATCGATTTCCCGCCACCAGGACAAACGAATCTCTTTAAAGGATACCCCTTCCGTTTATTACACACTAAATGGGGCCCATATCATATGCTCCTGCTGGGCAAAAAGTGGCAGATAAACGGACGCTCTGTGATAACTTATTTACCACATTGTTAACAAAATGGGGTGACATGATATTTTGAACTTGAAAGTATATTTAGCGGGTCAGAACCAACTGCATTCAGTTTACCAGCCACATTTAACCCACCAGCCAGCTAGAAACAAGCCCTAAGACTTAAGCAGACTAAAAACTGGAGATGGATAGGTACGATTTCACGGACTCCACAATCCGCTCCACGTAGATACTGTTGTTGTGCAGGATAAATAGCAGATTTCGCAGTGGCAATGAGTTCTGAAATGCAGAAGATGAGACGTGAATCAGTGCGGTGAAATCAATTATCAGAAACACTCTCTCTACATCGGAATGGCTGATAAATGTATATGGTTTCGGGGCTGGGAAAAATAAATATAAATTGCCTGCTGGCTGTCGATTTGATTTCATAAATATGTGCCTCACGTAGCCCAGCTCAATTGCCAATTAGAAGCGAGGCGAATGGAAAAGCAGTGGGAAAAGCGGCCGAAAAAAGCATAAAAAGAAAAGGCGGTGGCACTTGAAAATTCTGAGGCATCAACGGAAGTTGATTTGTATACGGAATCGCATATAAAGGTTGCCCACTTTTAACCTGTACCTTTCTGGCCAAAACTCAATAAAGCAATCGGGAATTTTTCTCACGTCCCTCTAGGAAATTATTATGGAGCTAGCAGTCGAATGGAATTCCTTTAAACAATTTTCCCCAAACACACGCACAGCCAGGAGTGGGGCATCGAGCAAACAAAGCGTGTCCCCTGGCTGAAATTCAATTACCACATGGTGGACCCGGGATTTCCCAGCTCACCTGCAAGCCGCTCAAAATCTTGGCAAACTTTGGACTGCTAATGCTGTCCACAAATGCTGCGAACTGTTTGTTGCTCTCAAACTCGTCGAAGAATAGGGCGTACAGTTGGTCCTGCGGCAGAATTTCCAGGACCCTCTCCACCATTCCATGGAGGCCCGTCTGTGCTTCTCCAGCCGAGGAGCTGCCATCTTCAGTGGCTGTGGCTTTGGTTGCCTCTGGAAAAAGCGAAAATGGCTATCATTTAGGCTTAGTGCGACTTGGAATGAAAAACAATTAATAGAATTTTGTATTGTATTGTTATGCATTCATAGTCTCTTTGCTGGATTTCATGGACAAGAATGCCCATAATTAAAAGCAGACTGGTTACACCGACAAAAATCAATACTCATACGCACCGTTGACCGCAGCGGAGTTCAGAATGGAGGGTTTGAACACCCCGGCCACCGAGTGCATCACCTTGACCACATCCAGACCGTGGGCACCCAGATAGTTGGTGAACTCCAGGACTTCCGGTAGCTGAAGTATCTTCCGCTTGATGTCCGCGAAGTCGCTGCTGGCGAGGAAGGCGTAGGCCCTTTGAAACTCCGCATCGTGGTGATAATAATGGGCGGCTATGGACTGGACTTCTTGCAGGGGAATCAGAGCCACAAAGGCGCTCAAATCGACGGAATTGTTGGCCGTATTTGGCTTTTGGCGACTCAAGAATATCAAATCATCGGACGCATTGCCTTGGTCGCTTTCGTCACTCTCTTCGCTGGCGTTTCCGTCGAGGGTCACGAAGCCAATGCCACTCACATCCGATTCGTCACTAGCCGGCCGTATTAGCTCGTCCTGTGGAAAACCCATCGAAAGGGAAATTCCAGTGGCAAATACCACCAAAACTAGCAGGTGACCGCGATTCATACTGCCGATGTGATCTTCTGTGCCGATTCTGAACTTCTGACAGTCTCTTCTCACGGTGCTTTTTTGTCCGCAGTTTTATGGAGACTTTGGAGACCATTCCAGACTCGGACAATCGTTTTGTCCGAGCGATTATTTAATTTAATCAGTAACGTTCAACGAAAACACTCACTTGTTTGGGGGAATTCATGACCGAGGTGCAGCTAAGTGAGGTAACGACACTCGGAAAATAATATTCAAAAAAGGTGAGTGCGTAAAGTTTAAAGTATTAAATAAAATGACATATTTATAGAAGTTTACAGTTAGCTACTGTGAAAAAATTCAAACACTCAAATGACATTTTTAGTGTTACAATGTGCACAGTTGCTTGATGTTTTTTGAGTGCATCCTAAAGCCTAAGTATATGAAATATTGATTTATATGGCTTATCGCTCGCTTCGAACAGCCCATAAAACACGACTTGGGGCCTAAGCAGCCCTTGAACTCGTAAATTATGTAAATGGGCGGGTATCCTGTGGGCGGTTCGGATCGCTGCATTTCCGCCGATGCAAATCAAAGAAAAGCGCACCCGAAACACACAAACCCCTAATGGGTGTTTGAGTGTGATACTCACACTTTGACAGCTGGCGGGAATGTCACCCGGTTAGTCACTGTGTGTGTCACTCAGTCAACCAGTCAACCAGTCATTCAGCCAACCAGTCATTCAGCCAACCAGTCAGTCAATCGCTCAGGCGTCCATTCAGGTCTCGTTTCCAGCTCGCTCGCTTGTCAAACTGTGCATAAAATATGTGAATACATGCATATGTGCCCGCACACTCACATTCCGGCTGATGTATTCATTTGCTCATTCAGCAAGTTAAGTAGGAATAAAATTGTCAATTTTCATGTCATTATTTCATGTCGTCGTCGCCGTTTGCCGCATGTGTCAACTGTGACACACTCTCCACACTCGTCGCGCCGCGTTTTCAGATATGATTTATTCACTTGGCTTGATTTATTACAACCATCCCACCAGCCGCAGCCTGTAAATTGTTCTGCCTACAAGCCAATAATAATTGTATTTGTATCCATCGTCGTCAACGTCAGGCGGCCGAACTTTAGTTGCACCGCAATTTTTTACATAAATTATTTGACTAAGCCCCCAACTTGATTAAAACTTGGCCCAGACTACGCCGCTCCCGACTCCACCGACTCCACCGTAACGTATGACACTTTATGAATTTGGAGCGCAAAGTTTCGAGGGCTCAAACTTTGCCGGTGTCGGTTTGCCGGTTTGTCGGCTTGTCGGTTGGAGCCGTAAACAATTGGCCATGCCAGTTATCCTGCACTCCGAGAAATTGCAACTAATTCGATTTAAGTCGCTTATAAGTGCTTAATTAGTTTCGAGCGTGTGATCTTCAACCACTGAAATATGTTTTACCTTAGCTAGTGAAAAGTTGCAGTGCGTCAGCTTGAACAAATCCTTAAATCAGCACAATTTATTAGACAATTAAATCATATTTATTAGTTTGAACAATTTAAAATTAAGTTAATTTATGTATTATTGCCCATTTTTGTATGCTCCCTTACATTCCCACATTCCTTAATGACAAACTGTTTAGGTGGCTTAAATAGTAATTGGCTTAAAGCGGCTTTGATAAATGGTAAATGCTGTTTTAATTTGCAAATTAAAGGCAATAGTATGCGATTCAAACAATGCCGTTTTAAAAGCTATAGTATAATGCTGTGGTGAATTACATATATTTATGGAGTTTTTCCCAAGTGTGTCAAGCGGACCGAACTTATAAATTAATTTCGCCCAACCAGAATACTTCAGCGAGCTCCTGGCATACCTCAGCTGCCATAAAGGTGGCTTCGGCCCAACTTGGCGGCGACTTAATTAACTGCAGTCCGGCAAAGTCAGCGGTACACACGCACCTGGGGTCGTCGCAGAAGAAGAGGAAGAGGTGGAGGTGGAGGATGGGGATGGGGATGGGGATGGGAGGCAGTGCATCCTGGCAGGACGAGGAGGCCAGTTAATTTCATGCTGCCTGGCTTTAGCCCCACAACGCCATGTGTTTTAAAGTGATTTTCTTGGCCAGGCGCCTTTTGTTTATGTTGCGGCATAAGAGCGCCGCTTTACCGCAAGTGTCAACATTTATTTCCAACTTAACACTTTTAGCGTAACATGGCGCTTAATCCGCAGCGCCAAGTC